CCCCTTTATTGTTACTCTTTCTGCCTTACTTAAGCCTCTGCCTTCCTGCCAATAAACGAGACTTGATCAGACTCCTGTCTTGTCTCCATTTCTTGTGTCTCCTGCCTCTCCCAATTTCCACTCCCTCCTCCAGGGTCCGCGTTGACTACCCCGCGGGTCGGGACAGATAAGAGTCTCCTAAAATGGCATAAATAGTTTTCCTCTATCATTTGTCATATTTATAACTAGAATAAAAAGGCCACATCATAAACATCAAGCCATATTATAGCATTTGTGGAAAGATGATCCACTAGTAGAATAGATACTTAATGAGCTCTGGGGAACCTTAAGTGAGAGTCCCAGCTATGCCAATAACTAACAGTATTACCTTGAGCAAGCTTTTTAACCTCTTTGGGCCTCAGTTTTCTCATATATGACAAAGACGCTCTCCTTGACCAAAGTTTAGACAGGCTTCTCTGAGTCCAATTCTCAACTAGGCCTCAACCTCGGGCCCTGCGTTTGGCCTGCCAAGCCCAGGTACAACAAGAATCATGGTAATATCAGTTCAGGGAGAGTCCCTCTACCCTTGATATCTGATCAAGTTCTTCGTCCCCCACAACTGATGTCAATGTCTTTGGCCCATCTTTACCAAAAATCCTATTAGGCCAGTTTAACAATAACCCTCCTACCCTTGATGCCTCCTCTTAGTAATTTTCCATCACTGACCTTGGCTACAAATGCTCCTTGGCTATAAATCGCCACTTAACTTGTCTTTGTTGGATTTGGAGATGAGCTCAGTCCCTCTCTCCTATTGCAATCGTCTCTCCCCTGTTACAATAGCCCTGAATGAAATCTGTCTTACCATCTTTAACAAGTGTCCAATGTGTAATTTCTCTTTGACATATGTAAAACTTAAGTCTTTTCTAGATTTGACATTCTATGGTTCCATGAAATAATGGTTTTTTGGGGAGTAGAAAACTAGGGAATCAATTCACATAGAGATAGATAGCCTCTTGAAAAATTATGAATTTTAAATTTATAAGAAGAAAAAATGTCCTGGCATTCTCAGAGCCAGACCTCATGGGGTATACTTTTTTCCTTTTTAATTCCTCCTTAGAAATTTGAAAAAGACTATTTATCTTGAATAAAAATAATAAATCTATTCAAATATTTGTACCTTTTTATTCCTGATTAAGTGAACATCTTTCACTATGAATCAGCAATTTTCTATAGGGTAGCTACTGGTAATCGTTCTTTGGTATGTACTGTTTATATGTATATGATGAAAATAAATATTACGAGTCCTCTAATTTGTGCTGGTTACACTGATTCCTTTTTACTTTGTGCCTATTGGTCCTTTTTTTTCTTTTTTCTTTTCTTTTGAGACAGAGTCTTACTCTGCTGCCCGGGCTAGAGTGCC